CAAAATAGGGCTATCATTTCCCACTGTCACATTTGGGTTGTAGGGGTACCATTAAGTGGTGTTAAGGTTTGGGAGCTAATTGTTAGCATTTTTTTTCTTTGTCATCTTTGGACAACATTTAAAATAGCACTGTTATGGGTAGGTATTCTTATTGAGTATATCTTGTCAACTTTTTGTGGGATCTCCGGCACTCTGGCCCTGAGAGGGACCAGAAGACTAAACCATACTTTTTTTACATTGCATTGTGAGATGAAGTTAAAGAAAGACTACTACCTCCCTTACCTTTGAAGTGTAACAAAAGCATACTGGGTAAGAGATCAGGTTAGATAGGATCGTTGCTTTAGTGGTTCTATTAAGTAAAACTAGAGTTCATAGGCACATTTATCTCTTCAGGTACCAATTGCTGGTTTGAAATTTGAAAACAATAGCCTTTTAAACTCTTACCTACTTAAGTAAATGTTTACAGTACATTTCAATATACGAAAGGACTCCTAACAAAATCTTACTATGCAATATGAAAATGACAATGTTGATGTCAGCTAACTTATCCTGTCAGGTCCATCAGAATTCAGAATCCTCTCAAAATTTATCAGGGATATTTCTTAAGGTTCCATTTCCTTCATGTCTACATTCTTCTTTTGCCCAGAATTTACAAATAAAAAAATATGATGATAATAATTGCTTCAAAGAGCTAGGTTCACTTAATGCATAAAATGGCCCTGTAGATATACCAATTTATTGACTAATACTTTATGTTCCATTTTAAACATCAAGATAAAGTAGAGACTTAGTGCTTTCATTTCCTATTGAAAATTTTCTCCTTAAAGCCAAGGTCTTGGAATACAGGCTCCATGGAATTGCAATGTTCTTGAATTTTAAGGAAAACAAGTATATTTGAGTACTTCCACAGAAGAGAAATAATATGAGCGCACCCTCTGATCTAAAAAATAAAACATGTTTTGTAATCCTCAGAAACTTTTCTATCAATTAATAGTTGTATATTTCAGATCAAAGGTTGCGCTCTATATTAAATATCGAAAAATAGCTTTAAAAATTGGCTGTTTTTGTAGAATTTTTCAGGATATGAGGAAAATGACGCATTTCATGACGTCATAATGCATTGGCTAGCCAGAAAATTACGCCATTATTGACAGATACGCAGTCATCAAAGGTCTAAATGATGATTAATGCATTTTCAACTAAAACCAAGCAGTTTCAATTTTTCTGAAATTCACAGGGCCAAAAAAGGCCCTAAGTGAGCCTTGTTCTTTGTCCAAGATCTTGGGCACCTCTTGCGATTCCCTAAAAACAAAATCTGTGAGAGGCAAATTATAACCATATTGTTCTCTTACTCTGCTCTAGTAATCGTTTTTTGCACACTTCAAAAATAAGGGTGATAAACGCCGACCTTTAACACGTGAATCAGCTTTTATTCGCGTGCAAGAAATCTTCACGAGTTTCACGACTTTTTATACTCACAAATATTTACGCCGACAGCCATTTCTTAAATAGTACATTGTTGCAACCACTTATAAAATAACGTTAACCATTAAATTAATTACTCAGTATTTCAATAGTGGTTGAGAATGCACCTCAAAACCTAGAACGGATGTCAACTACTTTTGAAATAACGTTCACGATTGAAATGATTATTTCAAAAGTGGTTGTTTTTTCAATAAAACACTATTGAAACAACAAAAATTATTGATATAGATGTAAGGATTAATTGATTTTTATCTTGTCAAGATGGATATATGTATTTAATAGTACACAGTCTTTATTGTTAACGAAATATATTTGAAGAATGAGACATTAAGTATACTGATTTTGCTCTTTTACTATGTACCAGTAATTGTTTGATGGACTTTTTAACTATTCATGAAAGGAACCAACATTTTCCCCAATGCAATGCAAAGATGGCAAAAGTTTGGGTGAGGTAACTGGCCACAGACCTTTCCAAAACCTGATAAGGCCTAAGGTAATCTGGACTTCCTGGTACCGGTGGCCATGAATGATATAGAAAATAATGCATGATATATGGTCCAGCCAAAAGCACCACCAACGACCATAGGAACCAGTTTTTGGTGTCACTATCATAGCAAAAATAGACTATTGTTCACTATAGTTAACTATTGTTACTTTAGTACATACTGCTTAAGTTAAAATCGAAACTTTACTCTACAACTGTTTTAGAGGAAATGAGATCAATATTTCTAAAACATTATACCAGTAATGTAAATTTGTATATAATGTATGGTTATACGAACAAATATTTACTTTTCAAATGAAAAAAATATCGTAGGAATAAAAGAACTGAAGAATGTGAAAGGAATTTCATTGCAAAAAAATTAACGAATAAACTTTGATTTTCTTTAGAAAATAAAAAATATGTAAATAACTTGGGTAAACAAAGGTGTTATTCGAAATGCTTATTTGTCTCCAGATATCATTTAATGATCAAAGATAATGGGTGAAATAGCTGACCTTTAACTCTTTTATCAATGTACAATGTGGAAAACAACAAAGTTGAGGTTAGCTAACTAGCCTTTATCTTCCCCGGACCCTTCAAAAAGCTGGCAAGGGATTATCCCTAATGTCCTTAACCTTTCACCAGTGTTAGTTTGTTCTAGTAGCCAAAGATGGATTCAAAATGAATGCATGAAATACGTCCCCCATCCTTGGCACCACTTAGTGGTACTACTACAGCTCAATTCTGATAGCGGGAAATGATAGTCCTTGGGGCCCTCTACCTTGCCCCAGTAATGATTTGAAGCACACTTCAGAGACAAGGGGAATAATTGCTGACCTTCAACCAGTTTACTAAAACACAAAGTGAAAAACAACAAAGTTCAGGTTAGCTCACTGGTGCCTTCCTTTCTCCGGGACCCTGCATGAAACTGGCAAGGGATTCTCCCTATGGTCCTTAACCTTTCACTAGTGTTAGTTTGTTCTAGTAGCCAAAGATGGTTTCAAAATGAATGCTTGAAATACGTCCCCCACCCTTGGCACCACTTGGTGGTACCACTTCAGCCCCATTCTGATAGCGGGAAATGATAGTCCTAGGAGCCTTCTACCTTGCCCAGTTATGATTTGAAGCACACTTCAAAGATAAGGGGTATAATAGCTGACCTTTACCCGTTTATTAAAACAAAAAGTGAAAAACAACAAAGTTCAGGTTAGCTTACTGGCCCTTTTGCTTCTTCTTGACCCTTCAAAATCCTGGCATGTGGTTTTCATTCAGGTCCTTCATCTTTCACCAGTGTTACTTTGTTCTACTTGCCAAAGATGGTTTCAAAATGAATGCTTGAAATACGTCCCCCACACTTGGCACCACTTGGTGGTACCACTACAGCCCCATTCCGATATCGGGAAATGATAGTCCTAGGGGCCCTCTACCTTGCCCCAGCAATGGTATGAAGCTCACTTCAAAGATAAGCGTTATATCATTTGACTTTTAATCCGTATATCAATAGACAAAGTGAAAAACAAAAATGTTCAGGTTACCTAACTGGCCTTTTTCAGTCATTGGAACCTGTCAGAAAGTTGACAAGGGATACTCCCTTAGGCCCTTAACTTTTTACCAGTTTAGTGTTAGTTTGTTCTAGTGGTCAATGATGGTTGAAAAATGAAAGTTTGAAATTTGTTCCCCACTGTTAGCACCATTTGGTGGTGCCACTACAGTCTCATACCGATTGCGGGAAATGATTGTCCTAGAAATCTTCTATCTTGCCACAGTAATGATTTAAAGCACACTTCTAACATGAGAGGTATAATAGCTGCTGAAATATGTAACCCGCCCTTGGCACCACTTGGTGGTACCACTTCAGCCTAATTTTTATGGCCGTATATAATAGCCCTGTGGACCCTTTACCTTGTGCCAGTAAATGTTCGAAGCACACTTCAATGATAATAATTTAAAATAGATTAAATTACCTTCAAACCCTTATCAATGTAAATATTAGGAGTAAGCAAATTTCAGGTTAGCCTTTTGGCACCATCATGTTCCTGGGACCCGTAAAAGAGCTTAAAAGGGATTCTCCCTAAAGTACTTAACCTATTTCCAATTTTGGTTTGTTCTTAAGCGGTCAAAGATGGTGACATTTTTTTTGTTTGTTTTGAAACCGCATAATTTTCCTTATGCAGGTGAGCTTAACTGTCTCCAAGTGTTTGAATTATTAAATAATTAAGTGTTGCATTAATTATCTAATTATTAATTATAAATTATCGAAGATGAGGCATTAAACAGTAGTGCGTCAGAGTACTCTCAGTCCTTTGATGAATTTCCTTATTGGCTGCTAGCTTCTACGGGCTTAATGGCTGCTGTTATTGGCTGCTAGCCTCAATCTAGTGTAGCGTTTCTGGGTTATACCGTTCATTTTAAAATCGGGTTCGTTATTTTCTTTCGTAGTAAATACGCTCTACGTCTAACAAAATTTTGTTACATAATATAACTTCTTGTTAGGAAATTAGATTATTTATTTACGCACATAATATAAGTACAGTGTAACACGATGTATCCTGATCAAGATAAGATGTATGTTTCGTAACAACTATTTTCCTTTAGCGTTGCTTTACAGTTATCTCCGGAAGTCACGATTCACAAAAGGATCCTACCGAAAATAATTTTCTAAAAATATGAATTTTATGAAAAGGAAACGGAAGGTTATTGCTTATTGAAAGTGTGTGTTAAAAGGTTAAATTCACAAGTACAGTGATATATATTTATGTACAGATGCAGCATCAAATTTTTTGATGCTGCTCAACTTGCCAAATTGACAGTAGTGTATTTGGTCACATTTTTTCTTATAATAACACTTACAGTAATTAATAATTTTCTTCTTTTCAAAAGTTCTTTCCTAATTCTGGGCAACAAAGTTTTGCATTCGGACAAGTCAAAGTTTAAGATCACTTGCCAAGGGAAAGTGAATCTGAAAGTTAATGTCTATCCCTATGACATATCTAAAAATGTTGTGTAGCATTAAAATAATCACTTAAATTGATCATAAAATTTTTGAAAGTTCTTCCTTTTGCCTGTTCAGTTGTCTCCGAAGACTACTACGAGTAAGCACATTTCTTTCTGTTTCAATTTGTGATTCTAAAAGACTTATTTTGTTAAACAAATCAGTAATAATGGTTTCCTTTATAACATCTTCAGATTGCAAGCGAGGTTGATGATAAATTGTAAACTCTGGAGATTTTCCGAAATGACGCTCTGATGAAAATGGATCACCAGGTTGAAAATTATCCAGTTTGAAAAAAACTTTTGTGGGAAATTGATGCATTTCTTGCAATGCTTTGAAATCTGTATTCTTGAAAAACGTAATCCCAGGATTTGCACGCAAATTGCTGGTGATGACTTCATTGATTTTCAGCAGTTTTTCAATTCTACTTTCGATTTCATTTTCAGATTTCTCCATTGATATTATTGCTTTCTTTTCCCCTTCTAGTAAATTCTGTAGAACATTTTCTTTCATCATTGTCACCTGCTCTATTATTGATTTTTCATGACCTTCTATTTGTTTCCGCACTTCTTCAGCTCTTATTGATATTTCTGATTTTGTGGTTTTCACTTCAGATAACATTTCTCTGTATTTAGGTAAAAGTATTCTTTCTACTTGTCCTTTTTCTTCTTCAAGTTTTTTCCCGATCTCTTTGAGTACTTTATCCAGCTCTTTCATTCTGTGGCCGTTATGAGATTCCATAAGACATTTTGTGCACACCGGCTCCTTGCAGGGAGAGCAGTACCATTCCACTTTGTTTACCGTGTGTTCAGCACAATAAAGTAGACCAAGTGTATTCTCCCTGTCTAAGTGTATGTGTATAACTTCATGATTTTTAGTTATTTTTCTCGTTTCATGCTCTCTTTTGCATGTTTCACAAAGATGGCCAGGGCATGTTTTGCATAGGAACTGCGCGGGGTTTTCCTCACAGTTTTCGCATTCAGCAAAGTGCTGGGCAAATGATCTCTCTAATGCCATTCAAAATTGGATCTGCAAAGATTATTAACAATTAATAAAGATTAAGATCTGCAGGCACCTTTTCAAAGCCATCTTAGGACTGAGATAAATTAGAAGATATAAGAGGCTATGGAATCCGTCCTAACTTAAGACATTTCTAAGGTTCTTCCTAAAGAAAAGTTATTTTAAGACCCGTTCTAAGATGAATTTAAGAGGCTCCTGGCTCTTACATTTTACAACTAATCATTTCTTATCAGACAGGTGGTATTGCTGGGGGGGGGGGGGATGCAAGGAGATGAAATCTTTCCCAAGTCTGTTTTTTGGTCAAATATCCCCTCCCCCAGAAATAAATTTATTGAGTTTGAAAATAAATCATTTTTGTGCCTCTCGAAGTTCTTAAGAACATTTTATTTATTTATTTATTTATTTATTTATTTATTTATTTATTTATTTATTTATTATTTCCTCTTTATTATCTGGCAGTGTTTCCTTTCTTCGAAATGCTACATGAAATATGGATATGCTACATATACAGACAATTGTATTTGCATTAATATGAGGGTTGTCCCAGAAAAGCGCGAACTCTTTAAATATCACTTAAAATACCTGATAAGAATTATTCATTTTTTCGCACAATGTTGGAAAATTATATTCTTGTTATTTTGACAAAATAGTGATTTTGTAATCTCATTTGTATATGGAAACGGCTTTCAAAGAAAAAAAGATAGTACCGCATTTTAATACTTTTTAAGAAAAACAATGTCAGCGATATTTTATTTTATTATCAGATTATACGGAAATAAAATGTGATTAAATTTGCATCGGCTAAAACTATATGATCTGTTTTACTTTTCTATAGAAATTCATTAGTTTGACCTCAAAAAAGGCAATTTTATGATGTTATATGCACAAATACTTCCTTTTAGATAGTGTCAAAAATGGCGACCTCGAGTGATTATGCGGCGCACCAGAATATCATTCAGTACCTGTGTTAAACGATGAATGACTCTTGTGCGTACGGGGAAAAGGATGGAAACGCTGAAATGACACAAACGAATCTCATATACTGGTTTATACCTATTAAAAGAGGTTCAAGGATTGGTTATACGATGAAAGAGGAGCATGATGGACCAACAAAATGACTACAAACTGAAAATTAAGAAACAGGACGTCATACGCGAAGATAAACTTCGTGAGAAGTTGGTGTCATGATCGTGGTTGGGAAATAGTCTATTCAAAGAATTAATTACGCGATCTTTTGATGACTCTTGATTGTGAAAGATAGGTATCTCGGTTACTGGCTGAAAATCACATGTTCTGTCCAATTTCTGCTTCAAACAAAATTTTATAAAATACTAAAGAAAAGAAGCAAAATTCCTGAATAATTTTACTAGCGTCACGAACTAAGTTTTGGCGTCGTCGGTGCTGTACCGACGGCTATTATGTAAGATCAGTTTAATTGAAAGAAAATGTTATTTATAGAGATATTTTCTTAAAATTCATAAGAAGCATTTAAAAAATGTTCATTATGATGCATGCTGATTTTCAACTTTATAGCATTAGTGAAAAAAATTTTAATGTTCGCGTTTTTCTTGGGAACCCTCGTAGTTCATTTACCTGTAATATTCAACCTTATTTTTTTTTAATATAAATTAAGTTTAATCAATATTTAATTTTGTATTCATATCAAGCAGAATTCATTCAAAAACTTCTACACGAAAAGAAGAAGTCTCTTGCTGTGTCCTTCAATTCAACATTATGATATATCGACGACGTCTTATCTATAAACAATATTCATTTCCAGTCCTACCTTGTTTCGATATATCCTTTCGAACATGAGATAAAAGATACCAAAGAGTCTGACACGTCTGTTTCATTTTTTGATATTTTCCTTTTGTTAATGGTAACCTAACGACAACATTTTATGAAAAACATGATAACTTTAACTTTTCCATTGTCAACTTCCCTTATTAATGTAGCAGTATACCATATATCACCTTTATATGGAGTTTATGTCTCCCAGTTGATTCGATACGCGAGAGCATGCTAAATGCACAAACAATTTCTGAAACGAGTCAAGCTACTGACAAATAAGTCGATGAAACAAGGATATCAACAGTCTCTTTTAAAGTCAACATTTTGCCAATTCTTTGGTCGATATAATGATCCTGTCAGCAAATACAGTCTAACATTAAGTCGAATGTTTTAATACAAATTGCTAGGACAATATTCTCACATTGAATAGGCTACGAATTTTCCCGTTTACCCGATCATGACAAAGAACACACGGCGGGTGTGACCGGTCGACAGTGGATGCTTACTCCTCCATGGCACCAGATGCCACCTCTGATGTTTTTAAATGTCCACGTTTGCTATCCTCGTGATTTGTATTGTTTCAATGGACTTTGAGCATGATTACTGTTCATTATCTTTATATTTCATGATTGATTGATTGTATGTTGTTTTACGTCCCATTCGAGAATTTTTCACTCATATAGAGACGTCACCATATATCGGTGAAAGGCTTCAAATTTTGACCTTTACTTGGCACTTAGGACCATTGAGCATTGAGGGATCGTTATCGTGCAAACGCCTGCTGTGACTCGGGGCCTCGGTTTCTAAGGTCTCATCCGAAGGACCAGCAACTATCACTTCAAAGTGACGAGCGCATGACGAAGGAACAGTTGCTACCCATTTTTTATCGACTTATATCAGTCGAGGCCGAGATTCGAACTCACGACCTCCCGAGCGAGTGCTCTACCGACTGAGCTACCGTGAACGGTTCTTTACATTTCAATTCACAGGAATAATCCGTTTCAATACGACGTTAAAAGCTTACGTTTTAGACCCTGACTTTTGTTAGCAATGGGAAACAGTAGCAGAAAGAGCCAAATTTATTTATTTTCATTTTTGAATGGTTTTCCTGGTTCTAATATGGGAAAAGATATTACATACATGTAAGTATTACGAATATTTTCTGATAAAAACATTGTTGGTATCTCTTAAATCATTGAAAAATTACTTTATTGATAAGAAACTAACAAACCTTGGAACATACCATTAAAAACTGAACATATTCTGATGGGACAGATGAAACTTCAAAGAAGAAGTTTTTGTTTCAATACAAATCTGGTCTTGTATTTTTTAATATTGTATGATAAATTCAAACTCATGCTTTTCCGAATTGTTTAAACTTCATGCAGTAAAATCATAGAAAACTTTTTATATGACCTCCTAAATGCCGATTGTGACGCAGTGAATTTGAGCATTTTCCCGTATTCTCTTTAAAAGTTGCATAAGAAATTAATTTTCAGTGGTTTTCTTTCAGACAATATAGACCTCATGCACTGCCCACAAAGATTTTAGGAAATGTGATTTTTTTTTCAAAGATTTTTTTACTCAATATATCCAAAAATTGACGTGGGCGATGGCTGTGGACACTATTTTTAAAAGGAAAATAATCCCTTTAATGAGTCATCTTGAGATTTTTTCCTGTTTAAAACTTAGAAATGTAGCAAAGTAATGACACTACATCTTTTTCTTTTGCAAGTTCAATACGGAGAAGTGATGACTACTAAATGAAAAATGGTTAAGATAAGAAACAGTGATCGATCTCTTAAAAACTTCAAACAATACAAGTCTGTGAACAGGGCATAATCACGGACCCTTGGAAATTCCAGAGGTGGGATCATGTGCCTAGGAGGAGAAAGCATCTTCTGTTGACCGGTCACACCCGCCGTGAGCCCTTTGTATTAATCAAGTAGACTGAGCATCCCGTAGTTAAATTAAGTATAAAAACAAAGGCTTAACAATTGGTTTGAAACAAGTCAGCCAAAATATAAACCAGTGATTGGTTATATTTGCTAATAAGATCATTATAACGACCATAACATTTTTTACGAAATAATAACTTTAAACGAGGTTGTTGAAATCCCTGTAACATCAACTTATCTGTCAGTAGCCTGCCTCGGCTTTAAAATTGATCGTAGTCCGAGCATGCTCTTCAGTAGGGAATAAGTTGGGAGACATAAACACCATATGCAAGTGATATCGGAATATTACTACATAAATAAGGAAAGTTGACATGGAAAAGCTGTCATACAATTTAGTTTTGGTTGGCCTTTGTCATCAATAGTCAGTAAAACATCCAAAATTGAAGAAGATTGACAGACTCTGTGGTTTCTTTTATTTCAAGTTCATTGGGATAAATCGAGTCGACATATACTGAGTAGTTTTGGTTTCTAAAACGGAGGGATTTGTTTTTACCTATATGTGTGATATATCAATAAAATTGCCAACATTATACAATTACTGCTGTATTTGGGGACAGTACGATGAGCCACCTCAGGAGTATAATATTCACCGAGTTCGAAGGGCTAGGTGAATATTGTATTTCTAAGGTGTCTTTATCATTGTATTGAGCTCAAAACAGCAATAACTGTTTTATTATTATATGATTCATTATTAAAAATGATGCAAACTCATTAAGCAATCGACAACATCTTACTTTTTATATCTGCTGATCGTTCACGGTAGCTCAGTAGGTAGAGCGCTCAATCCGTGATCGGGAGGTCGTGAGTTCGAATTTCGGCCGCGACTGACCTAAGTCGATAAAAAATGGGTAGCAACTGTTCCTTCATGTGCTCGGCACTTTGAGGTGAAAGTTGCGGGTCCTTCGGATGAGACCTTAAAAACCGAAGCCCCGTGTCACGGCAGGCGTTTGCACGATAAAGATCTCTCACTGCTCAATGGCCCTGAGTGCCGAGTAAAGGTCAAAATTTTCCCCAGATTCTATGTGCCTGAATGATAAGTTCACTTAAGTGGAAGTCAGGTGTAAGAGAAATAACTTTACGAAACTATTTGTATCACTTAAGGATTTCCCAATCAATTTTTAGTCCAATGTAGAAAAAATAAAATGCAGGTGAACATGACGTAGTTTTTTTTACAAACATTGTTGGATTTCAGCTAATAAGTGGGAATTATTCAATCATAAAATAAATATTTTTTTAATATAAATTAAA